AGCCAGCGTTACGAGTGTTTATACATCTTCTTCGTGTTTAACCAAGTGGACGCGCACACACACATGCGGACGGGGTTTGCTCAAAAGAATGGGATTCGTGTGTGACGAGGTGAGATGTTGAGTGCGGGGCGGTTTCTGTGTGTGTGTGTGTCAGTGCCAAAGGCTGAATGTCCCTTGCAAGGCATAAATGCGCCGACCATTGTAGAGGAGAGAGGAGATCAACTCCATTTTACTCACCGGCCCATGTGTTCGGCACTTCATGAAGCACCAATATCGTCGACTTATCTCGGTGCGGTTCACGCATCCGCCCGCAGCCATGCGATGGGATTGGGCCTGGGCTGCTTACTGCGCTGACCACACAGGGCACAAGAGCACACAGAGTTGGGTTGTGCGATATCTCGGTATCAGTATTATCTCAATATCGATACGATATCACCTTATCGATACCATATCATCTCAATATCCATGCAACTTCACCTTCCCCGATATCGAGGTTTCTATAGGGAGACACAGCCAGGAGCGAGCTTTTCTGAGGATGTTGCTGCGGTGGTGGCTGGCTATACCTGCTTCCGAGGGTCCACGCAAAGGGATAGGCGGGACCCAGCCGGCCCATGTGTTGCGGGGGTAGCTGAGGAGGTAGTAGTTCAGAAGAGCTATAGTATGCTCCCGATAACGTTATCAATGAATCAAGGTCTTGATAATGATCGTCCAAATGCCCCGAAAGTGCTTTATTCTAGAAGTAAACTTGTCAAATAACTTGTCTAATGTAGTGATTTTCTCTCCGAAGAATGCCGCGCCTTTTTTCCCGCACCGCTGCTGCAGCCCTGCGTGCATTCCTTTCCTTCCCGGCTGGCCACCTCGGCTCCGGCAGGTCTGGCAGGAGCTCCTTGATGCCGCTGGCCAGTACGGCGCGGAGCGCACCCGAAGCGTGAGTGAGTGGGTGACATTCATTGTCTGGAGGGCTGTGAGAACACGGTTCAAGTGGTGCGCGGGAAACCGAAGAGAGCCCGCACTTACCCTGCGCATGCCCTCCGTGTTGTGCGCAAAAGCCAGCTGCGTTTGTCGGCGCGTTTGGCGGAGCGTCCACCATCTTAGGGCGAATTAGACGCGCTCCGCCAGAGACGGTCTGCACACTGTTGCAAAACTGTATGCGACTACGTGTTTCCTGTTTTTTTTTTCATTTTGTAGTGTGAAACATCGATGCGTGTTTGTGAACTGTTTCACCCAATTCTGGACTCCTGCTAATGACCCGCAGATGTGCCTCGTAACGATTTTTAACAGCTTGAGGGAGGGTCCTGGAGTCGTTCAGAATCGAATTCTGCCACTGACTATAATCACCCATCGTGCTTTAATCAATGCCTCCTTAGACAGGAAAAAAAACATGTCGGGTATATTCGACACTAATCAGGCCATTCCTCTCCTCTTTGCCCCTGATTACGACAATCTCTTATAATGGAAAACGTCGATTAGTTGTATTCGCAGCTCTCTCCCTCCTCCCCACCCACGCCACTCCCACACTCCCTTATTTTGTCTCTCTCCCTCTCACTCTCCCTCTCTCCGTCCCCCCTCCCTTTTCCCCGTTGTTCATAACCTTTTATTGTTCGTCTGTGTGAAGAGAAAAATAGCGTGGACAAGAGGCTATTATTCGGAATGAGTGAGGGCGCGGGGGAGGTTTTTGTTCGCTCCCTGTGTTTGGCAGCTGAGTGACGCATAACTACGTAAATAGGTGGGCCATCCATTCACGCCGTTCGTATGTTTGCCTTTCGAGATTCGCATTGTTTCGCGCGCTCCTTCCCTCCCCGCCTCCCTCCTTGGAGGCGCGCGCGGAGGCGGTAACCAATCCCTCGAGCCCTTCCGGGGCCGGCGCGGAGCCTGCCGAGCCCCCCTCCGCGAGCGCCCCCGGGGCCCTGCTGCCTGAGTCATCCCCGGTCGTAACCAATCCCCCTTCTCCGAGCCTTTCTCCTCTCGCGGAAAGGGCCTGCTGCTCGTGAAAAACGGGCGGGGCTGGTCGCCGTGGGGCGTGGCGGGGTGGAGCGGGGCGACCTGTAATCACATTACACCTCTCCACACCTCGGAGGGCCGGGCGGAAGGCGTGATTACGCAGTGACGTGTCTGCGTGCCAAACGGGGTTGACGTTTTTTCTTTTTTACTCCTGTCTTTTTTATTTTCGACGTTCAAGGCACCGCCCACTGCTTGGAGTATAGTGATTTCTTCCTTCTCGATTCAAAGAGATTGAACAAACTTTCCTGCTCTGCTCTCTGTTCCTTTATACTTCCACTCGCAGCTCCTCCTGGTATGCGCAGTGAGGAAAGAGGAACTCTGGAACGCCGTGTGCTCGCCCTCTGCATTTTGCGACGTTTTGTCCGCGAAGGGATCCTGTTTTCTGCCAATTTTTTTTTCTATCCCGACGTATGCGTGGAAAAGTAACTTTGGCGCTGCGCTGCTCGCGGGTCTTTGAAGGGCCCTCCAGGGCGTTCTATGCCGTGTGTATCGCGCCGTTAAATTCGGTCCAACGAGGCGTAAAGGTGGGAAAAGTCTCCTTAACTGGCTGTGCAGGTGGAGTGGGGCTCCCTTTTCTGATCCCCTCGGATTCCGACTGCTTTCTCCAAACTTTAGCAAGGGCGGATAGACATCTCCAGGTTGGCGCTCACACATAAACGCCGGAAATGAAACAAAGAACGTACAGTCAGTTCTTTAAAAATGGTCCTTGTTTACACTGAAAGCTGAATACAGACAGGTAAAAAAAACCTGTGCATTTTTGCATACTAAAATTGCGCTTTCTCTAATTAGCACACACTGCTTAGTGTTTAAGCAAAAAGCTCAGTATGTAGACAGTGTGCTAAGTTTGAACGTTGGGAAAGTGGGCCAGTGGCACAATGGTCTTACTAATTGTACACGAAAATGGTACGGTTTAAAAGTTGGTGTGTGGTGTACAGTTGCGTGGACATGTGCGAAGTATGCAAAGTTTGAGGTTAACACTGGAAAGTGTGTAAAGTTTGCACATTTGAAGAGCACTAATCTTGTCTGCAACTTTCTGCATCTGTTTTACCAATAGTGCAAGTGCACCAATAATGCCGATGTTGAAGTAAGATTTTCTTTGCACTTTCTTGAATGACTTTCCCTGCTAAAGAAATGTCGAATTAGTACTCCAACCCCCTGAGAGTGCGATTTGTGTACGGCCCCTATGGCTTCACCTCCCCCCCCCCCTCTCCTCCACGTGGCCTCGACTATTAGCGACGCGACGCCTCGGCCCTCCAATGGAATCGTCAACAGCACGACGAGTGGCACAGCCTCTGGGATGGACATCGTCCAGTCCGTCCAGCCCTGTGCCCGACAATGCAGCAATTCGCCACAATGGCCGACAATGCCACAATGCCCAACAATGCGTGTATGGCCGCCCGGTATTGTGCCCCAGTCCACAGACTGTAGCGGCGGGCATTGTTGCGCTACACCCCAGAATATACGCCGCTGCCAGTGACGAATAAATCCACTCGATTCAGCCATTCCCCCGTTTGTTCACCACAATAATATGTACTTAGCCGTCAGGGGCCTAACCTCACTCCGATAAGGTGGGAGTGACTGTTGCACAACAGACGGGATATTTTCTCGGACTTTTTTCGGGTGGTCACTTGCGCCACCCACAAAGAGGTCACGTATGGACTTTTCCCGCAGTCTAAAAGAAGATTTGGCAAGGTCCGAGCTTCCCTCAGGACTGCATGGCGGATACCGGGGCTTTTCTGCCTTCAGTTATGTGGCTGTTCCTCGCCCCTAAGGTGACTTCTTGTCTCGATAGGTCGAACGAGTGTTGTGGATGATACAAGACCTCAGCCAGCATCAGGAGCACACACACCCACCATCCCGTCAAAAGTGTGTAACAATCAGTATTGTGTGAAGACCTCGGTCGCCCGCATATCGGACATGTGACAACTCGCGTAATTAGGGAAGTTTGGACAGCAAGTTTCCCACACTGTGAGTAGTTAGCAGTGTCATGGCAGCGCTGGCCGGCGGGCGGCTTGCCATTGTCCAAGTTTGTGTTGCCGCCGCCCAGGGCTGAGCACTATACGTCGTTAGAAATCCGACGGACAACGGCACGATCGTATTGATTTTATTTGACCTGTTGTAAGAGATGGCACTCATCAATCATAAACTTGGATGAAAAAAAAAGCCCGTGACTGCGCTCCTCGGGGCAATCAAAGAGATGCTCTTGTCTGCGACAAAAGCTGTCCGCGTAGGCTTGACCCTTTTTTTTTTTTGGTTCGCAGTGTACCGAATGATCTTTCCGCCTATGATTTTTATGTGCCGCGGAGTGGCTACGCATGAAAGCGCGTGCCTCGCCAGGTCGTTTAGGGGGAAGGCGCGGGATGGGTGCTGGCGGCTGGCGAGCGTCGCGGAAGCTCACTGAGAGTTTGACTGTCCGCTCCCAGCGTTTTATAGCTGTGTTATTGCCTGCGAATTCTCCATTTGCACCCTTTCAGTCTCTGATTGCGCTAGTGGGATTTGGAGCAGCGGGTGCGCAGTGGGGATGCTCTCTGGCAGCGCGGAATTCTTCGCCGATCAGTCTTTTCGCCCGAGTAAGTCAAGCGCGTCAAGTGAAGGAGTCTCGCCGAAAAAGTTAAAGTTGCATTTTGTGTGAAGAGTACTTATAAGCAACGTCACTTGACGATTTGCAAGTTTGCAAATGCGTGGGAAAAGGCGAAATCTGTGTAGTGTGGAGAAGCCTGAAAAGACGCGATTTCTTGCACATCATTTGCGTGGGACAAATTTGCAACAACTTTCGAACAATTTGTAGCAGCTCTCTTAACCCTACTTAGACTTATTAGATACAAATTGTCCTGATAAAATTTTTGAACTTGTCCCATAGACAACTGATGTGGACAAAATCTCATCCTTTCTTGGGAAAATTTTTATGTGTGCATTTCGTTGTTTAATCGTTGCGGTGTGCGTGTGCCATGAAAAGCAGCTACTAGCGAAACTAACTCACTATAAATGTTTCTCAACAGCGCTGCAAAATCGGCAGAGGAGAGAGTCCGACCCTAAGCGCCGGCGCCACGTGCAGTGCACCCCGAGGACGGACACCTCGGCCATGACGCAGCATCCGGTATGTATATTCCATTGTGCATTGATGCAGATGGATGGCGCCCCCAGGAAGGACCACTTTCCTAGGGGAAAAGAGTAATGGAATAGTGCTGACTGGACCGGCCAGGTGACCGGTGCCGCGCCGGTGGATTATTCGTTTTGCAGCCGGCGGCACAGACATTTTTCATGCTCTATTTGCTAAAAAGAGAGTGGGAGTGGTGGTGAGCGAGCTGTCTCGCGGATTGAGGAGCACGCGAAGCGCGGCCCGTTTCATTCAGGCTGAGTGAAGAATGAACAGCAAGGTGAGAAGATTGCGGGCCACCGAAGGGCGGCCCTGGGGCGGGCAACCTTTGCTGCCGGTGACATAATGGACGTAGTAACAGATTCAGGTTTTGGGCACCGTGATGGCACGTGATGCGAAGGCCCTTTCCTCGAACATCAGTGTATTCTTCAGACAACCAACATGAAACACGTGTCACGCGCCTTTGGGTTTGGGAAAGGGGGGGGGGGTTACAAATATCATGGCTCCTTAGAAGGTTCAGAATTATCGTATAATCACGTAGGACCCAATGGCAATTATACTCCTGGTTGCAAATAGCACGAGGTCCATTTGAGTTCCTGTGGTGGTCCAGGTCCAGACCCTTCTGAGAGGGCCATGATATGTCTACTCACTCTAGGCCACGTAGCACGACTCCATAGCATAGGAAAAGGGTAGTTTGCGCTGCATCGGTGGAGGAACAATGGCACACACGTATTGCTCAGGGGAGTTTGGGAATTGCACACAATGCAGAGGCAGATAAATACTTTGGGTAAAGGAGGAAGACAGAGAGAGGCGAGGCGATGGGCGTGCAGGAGGGGGTGAACAGGCGTGAGGACGTGGACATAGCGGGGAGTGAGTGCGAAACTTGACAACGGCAGGAAGGGAGGCAGGCAAAGGAGGGAAAAGTGAATATCACGCGGGTGGAAATGAAACAGAAGGGGATGAAAGAGTTGAAAAGGGACGGGGCGGGGGATGAGAGAGACGCAAGATGACGCTCAAGGAAATTGAATGAGGACGCGACAAGTGATATCAAGAGGGAGAGGGGCGTTGACGGGCGCGCGCGGGGCGCAGTGGGGCGCCGGGAGGGGGTGGGTGTCGCCGGCCGAGGGTGGAAGAGCGTCCTCTGTTTGTGTGTGCAGACCATTAAAAGCGGTTTGATTGACTCAGCACATTTCCAGATTGGGTTTCAATGGCTCGTGAGCAAGTGGAAGTGAAGTAGGACGCCACAACACCCTAGGAAAATGTTTACCGGTAGTGATTGGTCAAACGTCTCCCTCTGCTGGCTGTTGGAATGGACAGAGGGGGCCTCTACGAAATATTGCCGTTTTCTGCCGAAACCTTGGACAGGGGCTCGTCTTTGCATTTCACAGAAATGGAATGAATCTTGCATAGAGAGTGATTTGGGGCTGCAATCAGATGCATAATAGGCAAGAGAAAACCGACATGTTGACAGACCGGAAAGGGAAGGGGAGGGAGGCGAGGGGCGTGGGCGCCAGCCAGAGCCGATTTCAAATTAGGAGATAAAGCTGAGAAGCAGAGAGAGAGGGAGAGAGAGAGAGAGAGTTGGCAGGGGGAGTGGGCGCCACGCAGAGAGGGTGGCGAGAAGAATAGGCGTCTGAGAGACGTGAGGGAGTGAGCGGCCGGGGCGGCCGGGTGAGTGGTTAGTACATTGATTTGATTCCGCCCTTGTTTGTGACGGAGATGGCGGCCCTGATTATTTCGCGCCATATTCACCGAAGAAGGCTTAATAAACGGAGATGGGCGCGGTGTTTATCCCCTCGCGAAGCCGACGCTCCGGCTGGGCGTTCTTCGGCAGGACAACCTGGAGGGACAGGCTGACATCTGCAGGAGCCGCCGTAGAAAGGGTGAGTCAGTATGGTACCTACTCTGTGGTTTGGTCTGCTTTGGGGTTAAGTAAGCTCCACGACAAATGCATTTTAAGCAGCCAGGATTTAGTCGTGTCATTTGAGATTAGCGACCTTCAACTTCAAGTAGGGGTTGGGGGTGGTTTAGTTTGCTTTTCACAGTGAAGGTACTGTATTGCTGAAAGAGGCATCCTCTTATGGTGGGCTCAAATTGGGGTAGTTTCAGAAGTTTATGCTTTGAGAATCAAGTTGCTTTATCGCCAGAAACGTTTGTTTTCTTATCGTCTTCGTATTAAAGAAGAAATACAGAAAACTACCCGCTTCACCGCGCTACAGTAGAATGCCCTTGGTTGCGCAAGTGTTTCCGAATACCTTAGCTGAGACCCAAGTAGTGAAAGGCCTATGGGCAAGATCAGCCACGCAATGCGATCTCGCCCCGAGCTGCCTGCTCAAGCCCGCTCCGTCGGGTCGCTGTGCTGGGGAGGGTCAGTTGGGCTGGTAAGGGGCTCGCCCGCCCGAAACCGAACACAAGAGCTGAAGCCAAACCAGGACTGCTATTATCTGCGGGAAATCCTCCCCAGCAGTCGCAATGAGGATGACGTTTGCCGCGCAAAAAGCATTTGAGCATTGGGCTGACGAGGAGAGAGGGGGTCCCAGAGAGAAAAGGGTAGCCCAGGCTATTTTGTGTATTCTGGATGTTCGAGCAGAACCTTTGTCCATTTGTCGCAGACTTGTTCATTTCAGAATGTGCCCTGCTCGGCAATACGCTTTTGGTGCATCAGAAAGGCAGACGAACCCCCGTTTGCAACCCTTTGGCGATGGGCTCGGCGCAGCAAAGCTCCAGGAACAACGCTGCGGCGGGCACCTGTTTTGGGCCTTTCTATAATCTTCCCCGGCCTACACTGTTCTTTTTGGCCGAAGTTGAGCAACCGGCGACCATCGTGCTAAGCCAACAGTGCAGAGAATGAATAAACGCATATCTATAAATTAATATTAATGCCCCCTTCTGAAAGTAGATCCTCCGCCCCCAACGACGACTAGTTTCCCCTCTAAAATCCTCGTTAAGTGATTTAATTCTGCGGCAGGCCATTATAGGCCCTTAAACTCGACAATTTGTCATGAGCGACGGTGCGTTAAGCGGATGCAAATGCCTCGCACGCTCCGCCCCGCTCCGGCGCGTCAGAAAGCGCTGCAGGCTGTTTCGGACGCCTCCCCGCGCACTTACCAGCTGCTCCTGCGGGTGCCGCTTGTTGCACCACTGGCGGCTTATCCAAACGACATGTCGATTTGCTGTTCGGCTAAGCCTGCAGCAAATTCACGAAAACATTGTATAGGCGCGTATGTAGCTGGAGTCGCTGTATTATCTTGAAGAGTAGCTTAACTCCATTGTAACACACCCTCAAAACCGAACTTTTGGACCGAGTACATTGTACTTGATTCTTGGACCAAGTACATTGTTCTAGATTCTTTGACCAAGTACATTGCACTTGATCCTTAGACAAAGTGCAGTGTTCTTTGATCCTTGGACCAAGTGCAATGTATTTTATCCTTGGTCCAAGTGCGACGTACTTGATCCTTGAACTAAATAAACTGTTCTTGGTCAAGAACTAAGTTTAAGCAGTGCAGTCCTGTGTTCCTGAGCTCTTACAGTCACTCTTGGCTAGGATGGTGCTTTGATATTTAATTTTCTTGGAACATGATGACTGGTACATATGCGAGCCTGGTGATGATGACGCCAATCTCGATGATGGGGGCGACGACAATGGCGATGTTGCGGACGCGTTCTTCATCCGCCCCTTAATAACATGCGCACGGGAGGGATTGTCGCCCTTGTCTCTGTCAGAGAGGAGGGCGAGAGAGGGTGGTGGGTCGCGAGGCGGAGGGGAGGAGAGTAAGAGGCCCCTTACACGGCTGCTTGTGTTGTCTCCATGCAAATCAGGCTCGGCTCGAACAGGTGACAGGCGCCCCTTGACGCCCGAGCACGGGTTAATGGGCCCGCAGATCCTGGCCCGCTCCTTCGATCGATCCCCGCGGCTGTTCGTATTTGTACCGCTAACATCGGTTTGAAGGAAAAAAACACCGCATAGATGAGCACAAAATTTTCTGAAAAATGCTCTTAGCTTTTACTGGAAAATTGAAAACATCTTGGGATGTTAAACTTTAATGCCTTTGCAAAAGGAGTGAAGTTGTCCAAAGGCCTTGTAAATTTTTGGCCTTTGGGCAGTGTTAATGCCTTTGTACACCCAAAAAATGGTAGTCTTGAAACAAGGCAAAATGCGTTGCTTCAACGCTATTTTTACCTCAACTTAATTTCCTTGAAACTAATGGAAAAAACTTTAAACCAAGGTCTTAATAACCTTGTATTTTAAAAAGAAAAGTCCTTGGTTTTAGGATACCATTTTCTGGGTGTGTGGGTGTTAATTTTTAATGCCTTTCTAAAGGCATTGAAGCCCTTTCAGTCCTACCTTCCCTTTGTTTTCCAAGTGTTAAAGGTGGAATATGCGGGAAATGCCTGAAATAAACTTGTCGGCGTTCATATGTAGTAGATCTTTTGCATAGCCTCTGTTTGTTTTGAGTCTTGCACTGATGCAATTTTTTTCATTCAACGTTTTCATTGCGCAGGTGAAACCACACGCTGCCATGTACATGCATAGTGCCCCTATGCTCTGCATCGTGGAGGGCGTACCTCACCTCGTCGCATTCACGTGTAGCTCCATGAGCACCAGCCTACACACACAAACACACGGTTAAAGGGCGCCCTACGGTCTTGCTTGCGCCCATACACACACTCGCGCATACACGCGCCAACTACTACCACACAAAAACTACAAAAACATGTCACGAAAAGAAGTCATGGGGAAATGAAAGCAGCATAGAGCAGTGCGCCGTGTCCTTCCTAATGAGGCGGACTGGACGCGTGTCACAGCCACTCGAGGCTCCAATCAAAACCGCGGAACCGCCGCACCGCCCACCGCCACGCCCCTAAAGTGCCCTCTAAGTGCGTGTCACGTGTCACGTGGACTTATTCCTGTGACCTTCCGAGTGGAGGGAGCAAGAGAGAGAAAGAGAGACCTGCTCGTTTTGTGTGCACGCTGCCGTTTGCGCTGTCGTTGTGTGT